TTTTTGGGATCTGGAAGTCTAGGGATTCGGGGATTTTGGGATTTAGGAATTTTGTGATCTAGGGATTTTTCGGATTTAGGGATTTTTGGGATTTGGGATTTTTGGGATTTGGGGATTTAGGGATTTAGAGATTTAAGGATTTAGGAATTCAGGAATTTAGGGATTTAGGGATTTAGGAATTTTGTGATATTGAGATTTTTGGAATTTAGGGATTTAGGGATTTAGGGATTTAGGGATTTAGGGATTTAGGGATTTAAGGATTTAAGGATTTAGGGATTTAGGGATTTAGGGATTTAGGGATTTAAGGATTTAAGGATTTAGAGATTTAGGGATTTAGGGATTTAGGGATTTAGGAATTTAGGAATTTAGAGACTTAGGGATTTAGGGATTTAGGGATTTAGGGATTTAGGAATCTAAGGATCTAGGGATTTTTGTAATGTTGCGATTTTTGGGATCTAGAAATCTAGGGATTTTGGAATTTAGGGATCTAGGGATCTACGCATCTGGGGATTTTGTGATTTAGGAATTTAGGGATTTTGGGATTTTGGAATCTAGGGATTTTGTGATGTTGGGATTTTCGCCATCTAGAAATCTAGGGATTTTGGGATTTAGGAGTTTAGGGATCTAGGAGTCTAGGGATTTTGTGATCGAGGAATCTAGGGATTTAGGGATTTTGTGATTGAAGGATTTAGGGATTTTGGGATCTAGGGATCTAGGGATCTAGGGATCTAGAGATCTAGGGATGTAGGAATTTAGGAATTTAGGAATTTAGCAATTTAGCAATTTAGCAATTTAGCAATTTAGCAATTTAGCAATTTAAGAATCTAGGAATTTAGAAATTTAAGAATCTAGGAATCTGAGAACTTAACAACGTAAAAATCTAAAAATCTGTAAATCCAACTTACCAAACAATCCAGAAATAATATTTCTACCTACATAATAAAAAAATCGAATTTCCAGTAATAACCAATACATAAAAAAATAAATTTACCAGCACAATTTCAATCTTTAATCAGCCTCGCTTATTGACCACTGTAATAACATCAAATCGAAAGTCCTCTTGCAGTGATATTAAAAAAATTTGTAAAGAATTTAATAACAAATTTCGCATTGAACGAACGAAATTTTCCCGGCAACGAAAACTGTAATTAAAAATGGTGGCCACCCGTTGAAAACAGAGTGAACGGACGGCCATCAAAAGGCAACAGTGCTTCGAAAACTAATGAATCGCTTTACGCGTTCTCCCCGTATAAGAATCGAACGTTCATGCCCTCGACAGCTATGAAAGTTTCACCGTTCAAGGACCGACGCAATTTACCAAGGGGAAAAAATTTCACGAAATTTCACCCCCCACTTGATTTTTCAACCTTCGTAAATAGTCAATTTGATGGGGTTCGAGGGGACGCGTTTCGGTATTCAACGCCCGGATACACGATATCGAGTTTGTTATCGTGTTTTGAATACGTGCCGTGTTTTTCTTTAAACAGAAACATTGTTGCTCCCATTGGGAGGACAAAATAGTGGCGAACTTTTGCGTGATTTGTCCTCTCACTGTCCTGCATTTTAAACGCGGGAAAACCGGCGAAAATTCGCTTCGTTTCATTACTTCTTTATTATTGTGGTCCGTTTTGATTATTTGCTTATTTTTCATTTATTTTGCTTGCTATAATTTATTTTTCTGTTATTTTGCTGAAAGATAGAGGATTGTGCAGAGGGACCTGTTTTCGATATATTTTTATTATATTATTATTATTATTTTTACTTATTTTTCATTTATTTTGCTTGCTGTAATTTATTTTTCTGTTATTTTGCTGAAAGATAGAGGATTGTGCAGAGGGACCTGTTTTCGATATATTTTTATTATATTATTATTATTATATTTGCTTATTTTTCATTTATTTTGCTTGCTATCATTTAGTTTTCTGTTATTTTGCTGAAAGATAGAGGATTGTGCAGAGGGACCTGTTTTCATTTAATGTTTTGCATATATTTTTATTATATTACTATTATTATTTTGGTATATATTTATTTATGAAGGTATTCCTTGTAGATGCACATTCGATAATTAATATACATTTTTTGTTTTATATTTATTTGAGTCGCAGGTGCTACTTTTTGAGACAGGAGTACTTGCTTGTTTACAGCCATCTTGTTTCCTTGCGACCATCTTGTCTCCTCACCGCCATCTTGTTTCCTTACCGCCATCTTGTCTCCTTACCGCCATCTTGTCTCCTTACGGCCATCTTGTTTCCTTACGATCATCTTGCTTCCTCCCCGCCATCTTGTCTACTTGCGGCCATCTTGTCTCCTCACCGCCATCTTGTCTCCGTACACCCATCTTCACATTAGCACCCGTCTCAAACACCTTCCGACGTTATTAAACACGCGGTACTGCCGTCCAAAAATACCTGACTGTGCCGAAGTCTACAGATGAGTGCAGTACTCGTGAAAACTTCATTTTGCAATCATCGAGCCTCAAGGTCGAATTTACGAAATCGACTTGTCTCTCTCGCGCGTCGCATATACGTGCATGGTCCCGTTCTTCGTGCGAACACACAGAGCCAACTTTCCTTGAGGAAGTATATTTCGTAAATTCGACCTTGAGGCTCGATGACTGCAAAAATGAAGTTTCCACGAGTACAGCACTCACCGGTAGACTTCGGCACAGTCAGTTATTTTCGGACAGCAACCGCATGTTTGATAAAGTGGGAAGGTGTTCAGATGCGAACAAGATGGCCGAACGGAAACAAGATGGTCGTAAGTGTAACTCTACGATCTTATCTTGGCCCATGTAACGTTACACTTATTAGTCCCCATTTGACCTAGAATAATTATTAAGGAAAATTATGCACTCACCGCGAGGCGTATAGAGACTTAGAGCAGTCCAGTTAATTGCTACAATTACCTTTGATTAATGCTGCTAATTACCCTCTCGTCTTTTTACTTTCCTACTTTTTTTTTATTCTCTCTTTGAGACCGGTTAACGAGACCGACGTGACTGCTCGTGAATTCTCCTGATCATCAAAACGAACAATCCAACGACTCCTATCGAAATGATTTAATTTCATTCAATAATTTTCCTCTCGGAAAATATTGTTTCGTTCTTCTTTCAATTTTCAAATTTATACCGCCACATTTGCATACGATGTTTTTTAAATCACTGTCTTTTGTTATTTAAATGCACGCGGTTTCGGCTGCCAATTATTTTATGAATAATCTCGTCCGCGAAAACTCGTATACGGCTCGTCGAAACGGTGATTTTCTGTATTTGCGGAATTGAATTATTAAAAAGTCCTCGTTTGCTTTAATCGGGAAGGATTATTCGATTGTACGGAAACGTGTTGAGCGCGGTTCCGTTTGACAAAATAGAAAGGTGGATATACGTAATCCGGTTAAATTTTATGATTTTAGCATTTCAGGATTTTAGAGAGTAAGGGTTTTGAGGTTATGGAAGGTTAGGATTTTACATGGTGGGAAATTTGAGGTTATGCAAGGTTAGGACTTTATACAGTTGGAAATTTAGGGTTATGTAGGGTTAGGATTTTACAAGGCTGGAAATTTGAGGTTATGCAAGGTTAGGACTTTATACAGTTGGAAATTTGAGGTTATGTAGGGTTAATATTTTACAAGGTTGGAAATTTGAGGTTATGCAAGGTTAGGACTTTATACAGTTCGAAATTTGGGGTTATGTAGGATTAGGATTTTACAAGGTTGGAAATTTGAGGTTATGCAAAGTTAGGACTTTATACAGTTGGAAATTTGAGGTTATGTAGGGTTAGGATTTTAAAAGGTTAGAAATTTGAGGTTATGTAAGATTAGGACCTTACACAGTTGGAAATTTGCGGTTATGTAGGATTAGTATTTTACATGGTGGGGAATTTGAGGTTATGAAAGTTAGGAATTTACGTGGTTTGGAAATAGCAAGACTTGAGAACTTGGCAACTTTCGAATTTGGGGATGTGCGAATTGGGAAACATGAAAGTTTAGAGACTTGGAAGAATGATGAAATGGTGAAATTCGACAATTTAAGGATTATCAGCTATAAAAATTTGAGAATTTATGGAATTGGGGAATGTGGAAATTGGAGAATGTGGGAATTGGGGAATGAGGGAATTGGAGAATGTAGGAATTGGGGAATATGGGAATTGGGGAATGAGGGAATTGGATGTAAATAGGAATTAGGGAACGTGGGAATTGGGAAGTGTGGGAATTGGGGAACGTGGGAATTGGGGAGTGTGGGAATTGGGGAATGTGTGAATTAGGGAATGTGGGAATTGGGGAATGTGTGAATTGGGGAATGTGTGAATTGGGGAATATGGGAATTGGGGAATATGGGAATTGGGGAATGTGAGAATTGGGGAATGTGGGAATTGGATAATGTGGGAATTGGATAATGTGGGAATTGGGGAATGTGAGAATTGGGAAATGTGGGAATTGGGGAATGTGGGAATTGGAGTAAGTGGGAATTGGAGTAAGTGGGAATTGAAGAATGTTTAAATTGGTGAATGTAGAAATGGAATTGGAGAATGTTGGAATTGGGGAATGTGGGAATTGGGGAATGTAGGGATTGGGGAATATGGGAATTGGGAAATGTGGGAATTGGAGTAAATAGGAATTAGGGAATGTGGGAGTTGGGGAATGTTGGAATTGGGGAATGTGGGAATTGGAAAATGTGAAAATTAATTAATGTGGGAATTGAAGAATGTTTAAATTGGTGAATGTAGAAATTTGGAAATGTGGGAATTGCTGAAAGTAAAAATTAAGGAATGTGGGAATTACAAAAAGTAGAAATTTGCAAATGTACGAATATGTCAATTGCCAAAAATAGAAATTTGAAAATGTCACAATTCGAAAAAGTACAAATTTGTAAATTTTGATACCTAAACTTAAAAACTACTCAACCATAAAGTTGCTAGTACCACAGCATATTCATAACCGACCTTAGCGGTCACATTGAACTCTTCCGAAACGATCGTTAGAAGTGATTATACGAGGCGAACCCTGGTCACGCTCTACTCGTCATAAGATGTGCCTTCGCTGACTCTCGACTCGTCTTTGTCATTACAGTGACAATGATAGATGCAGAAGCAGTGGCAGGTGGAATTGCTCAGTTACCATGCGACGTGGATCCTCCGGTCTCTGGGGACAAGCTACACCTAGTTATTTGGTACAAGGAGGAGGCTGACGCACCGATATACAGGTAAGTTTTTCTCTAGCATTATTATTTATCTTTTACCATCTAAGTCATCTCTGCTTCGTTGTTTCTCAACTACCATACTTCAAAGGAAACGAGTCTACCATACTTTACTTGTAAACACGCTGTTCAGAAGAGTTTTCATGAAAACTTCAGTTACTTAAATTTTGTAACTTGAATTAATGAACTTGTTATTTATTTTATGTTCTTTTTGTTAGTTTATGCAATTGAGGTTCAGACGTTCACTGTTTTTGTGTTGTTTATATTTTTATTAAATATATAATATTTTGAAAATATTTTTATTTTGACATTGCATTTGTTAGATTATTTTTTTTTATTTATTTTATTTATTTTATTTATTTTTATTTATTTTAAAAATATTTTACAATTTTTTTATTGTAAACATTTTTGGAAAAATTTTTTGTTTCATAACTTGTGTTATTTAGTAAACTAAGTTATTATTAATTATTACTGGGTTTTTATTTATTATTAGTGTTGCTGTTATACAAATTTGTTTAAAAATTACAAGTTTGAAATTAAAGTTTGCATTACAAACTTTAGGTATTCACAAGTTTAGGATAGAAAATAATATAAATCATGCAGTTAGTTAAAAAAGAATAACATTATTTAGTTAAATAATAATTGTTCGAGATCTTGCTCGATTTTTCAGTAAAATTATAATAAAACCATTAAAGTATTTCAATCTCGCCTTCAATTTTTTAATATTTCTCTTCAAATATTATCTTAGACCTTCAAATATTTCACTGCGGATATTTCCTCAAATTTTCAAATATTTCATTTCCAATATTGCCTCGAATTTTCAAATATTCGAGTATCGCCCTCTTGAGTGTTGCCTACAGCATATTATTTCGCTTCGAATGTTGCCTACAATTAACTTTCTCAGAAATCTCAATTAACGCGAAAACCCGTCAAGTGCAATGTAGTTTATTCAAAATTAATTTGCAACGGGAAATTAATTGCTACTTGTATTATAAAGCTTAGCTCGAGAACGGTCGCCTATTGAACCGTTGAGAGTTATTGGGAAATAATGAAGCCAATATCATTGTTCATTCTGTAACACTCCTATTTTAATCAACCTTCGACGAAAATATTACATCATTTTATTCTAAGTTGTTCTTAACATAACTGTTCAATAATACATGTACTTTTTTACTGTTCATGGTTTTGAAAGTCAATTTGGAGATAAACGAGTGGGCAGTGAATTTGTAAGAACATAACCTATTTTCGAGATATTGGTGCTTGAAAATGGACAAAATGGCGAATCTCAGGCGCGTCAGCTGTTTTGTAGCACTTCATATAATTAGAGTGCTTTTTGAAGGGTGCTTTTTAATTTTTGGGGGTGTTTGTCGAGATTTATGTTAAATATAAGAGTGAAGAGTGGTGGTTTTGTTGTTTTTTCTTTGATCATTGTTTATTTGACTTCAGTTTTTGGAATTGGGAATTGGGGAATGAGGGAATTGGAGTAAATAGGAATTAGGGAATGTGGGAATTGGGGAATGTGGGAATTGGGGAATGTGGGAATTGGGGAATGTGGGAATTGGGGAATGTGGGAATTGGGGAATGTGGGAATTGGGGAATGTGGGAATTGGGGAATGTGGGAATTGGGGAATGTGGGAATTGGGGAATGTGGGAATTGGGGAATGTGGGAATTGGGGAATGTGGGAATTGGGGAATGTGGGAATTGGGGAATGTGGGAATTGGGGAATGTGGGAATTGGGGAATGTGGGAATTGGGGAATGTGGGAATTGGGGAGTGTGGAAATTGGGGAATGATGGAATTGGGGAATGTTGGAATTGGGGAATGTGGGAATTGGGGAATGTGGGAATTGGTGAATGTGGGAATTGGGGAATGTGGGAATTGGGGAATGTGGGAATTGGGGAATATGGGAATTAGGGAATCTGGGAATTGGAGAATGATGGAATTGGGGAATGAGGAAATTGGGGAATGTAGGAATTGGGGAATATGGGAATTGGGGGGTGAGAGAATTGTAGTAAATAGGAATTAAGGAATGTGGGAATTGGGGAATGTGGGAATTGGGGAATGTGGGAATTGGGGAATGTGGGTATTGGAGAATGTGAGAATTGGGGAGTGTGGAAATTGGGGAATATGGGAATTGGGGAATGTGGGAATTGGGGAATGTGGGAATTAGGAAATGTAGGAATTGGAAAATGTGGGGATTGGAAAATGCAGGAATTGAGGAATGAGGTTACATAATAAATATACTTTATATTATTTACTTGGCAAGTTTTTACCAATTCATATTTTTATCAAATAGCTTTTATTATGATTCTGTTTACAATATATTTTAGTATGATTTTCTTTAGAATATGTTCCATTATGATTTTATTCAAAATATGTTTCATTATGACTTTGTCAAAAATATGTTCAATTATGATTCTTCTTAAAAACAAGTTTCATTAAGATTCTTCTTAAAATTACTTTCATTAAAAAAAGAAGCACAAACTATAATCGTAATTTATTTTTATTTTTTAAACAACTTCTTGTGCAAATCATAAGCAAAATTCACTTAAAAAATAAAAACAGCAGTAAATACAATTAGACTGCAATAACAATTCCTCAATGTATAACTTGCTAATCAAACACGAGTGAAGTGCAAGTATCAAGCTTGCAGACCAAGAAAAAGTATCCAAAATATTAGATTGAAGGTTTCCCTCTCGGGGTTGATGCAATTGTGCCACGATATTCGATGTTCCCGTTTCGAGGACGACCCAGACGAATTATTTACCTTGAGCAAATATTTCGCGAAATCGAGTCGTGGCACGCGATTCTGTGTACCAAAGAAATCATAGCCATCTCGACCTCCGTTAGTAATTTCCACCTAACTATATTTATAATTCGTACCTAACCTCCCTAACTGATAATCATTGTCGAAGTCATGCATTCATACTAAAAAATTGTGACTAAAATATGAAAACTTGAAAAAGTACCAATTTCTCAGAATTATTAGACTTACTACAATTAGCTTAACCTAACCTAACCTCCCTAACCTCCATTACCTAATAACCTGTTCTCAAAGTCATTCATACTAAAAAATTGTGACTAAAATATGGAAACTTGAAAAAGAACCAATTTCTCACAATTATTAGACTTACTACAATTAGCTTAACCTAACCTAACCTCCCTAACCTCCATTACCTAATAACCTGTTCTCAAAGTCATTCATACTAAAAAATTGTGACTAAAATATGGAAACTTGAAAAAGAACCAATTTCTCACAATTATTAGACTTACTACAATTAGCTTAACCTAACCTAACCTCCCTAACCTCCATTACCTAATAACCTGTTCTCAAAGTCATTCATACTAAAAAATTGTGACTAAAATATGGAAACTTGAAAAAGAACCAATTTCTCACAATTATTAGACTTACTACAATTAGCTTAACCTAACCTAACCTCACTAACCTAATAACCTAATAACCTTTTCTCAAAGTCATCCATACTAAAAAATTGTGACTAAAATATGAAAACTTGAAAAAGTACCAATTTCTCACAATTATTAGATTTACTACAATTGGCTTAACCTAACCTAACCTCCATAACCTCCATAACCTAATAACCTGTTCTCAAAGTCATCCATACCAAAAAATTGTGACTAAAATATGAAAACTTGAAAAAGTACCAATTTCTCACAATTATTAGACTTACTACAATTAGCTTAACCTAACCTAACCTCCCTAACCTCCATAACCTAATAACCTGTTCTCAAAGTCATCCATACCAAAAAATTGTGACTAGAATATGAAATCTTGAAAAAGTACCTACTGCAACTAATGCAACCCCTAATGGGGTTGCAAAATAATGCAACCCCCATTCTTCAAATAACGCAAACAACATAATTTTCGTTAAATTTTCATTAATACACGCGAACGTTTATAGTCGAAGAATACCCTTAAACTCTATCAAAGGCTCCTAAACTAATCCTAAGATTAACAGACTCTCACGTTTCGACGAGGACAGTTCTAGGAACGAAGTTAGTTGTATAAACGTGGTGAAAGCGTTGTTTCCATAAGTTCATTATTCCAACGAGAGGATTTTACTTCTGAAACGTTGCCAATCTGTTCTATTTATTTGCTGTTTGTAGGTACGTCGACGTTAGCTCTTTATTGCCGTCACTTTGCCTTCGTTCTTCCTTAATGGAAATTTAAATTAAGTTCCAACGGATTCGTGAATTCGTTTCCAGATATTCTTTATGAATCGTTTGGTTAACGTTTCGCGGGATTCTTTGAGAAACTATGTCGCAATTTTGTGCACACGGGGTATAAATAGTGGTGGGATTAATGGCGGGGTGAAAGATGTTCGATTTAAGGAAATTTGTTAATTTTCTTTTTTTGGTGTATTTTGTACTTTTGAGATGCAACTTGTAAATTCATTTTTTGTGAATTTTTGTTAGAAGTTGATGTATGTAGTTATGATACATGATATATGATATGTGAGATATGATATGTGACATATGATATGTGACATATGATATGTGACATATGATATGTGACATATGATATGTGACATATGAGATATGATATATAATATGTGACATATGATATATGATATATAATATGTGACATATGATATGTGACATATGATATGTGACATATGATATGTGATATATGACATATGATATATGATGTGTGACATGTGATATATGCCATACGATATGTGACATATGATACGTGACATATGATATATGATATACAATATGTGACATATGATATGTGACATATGATATGTGAGATATGATACGTGACATATGATATATGACATATGATATGTGGGATATGATACGTGACAAATGATATATGACATACGATATGTAACATATGATACGTGACATATGATATATGATATACAATATGTGACATATGATATGTGACATATGATACGTGACATATGATAAATGACATATGATATGTGGGATATGATACGTGACAAATGATATATGACATACGATATGTAACATATGATACG